TTATCAAACTAGGCACGCAAAGTCTCTTGACAACAGTCAATGTTCAAAACACTACGCAACTCTTCATGTAAAGTTTTAATTGTTAAAACAATATTCTGGATGGTGCATGTGAAGTAGACCCTGGCTTGTGGTATACGTGCTGACAAGAAGGGAAGGGACCATCCGCTTTACGCCAGGCGGATCTTAAACTTAAGTGAGATCCATAAATGGTTGTAAAAACGGTATATCGTTTGGTGAACTTTAACATTCTGTTGTTGAGTGATCTCTGCAATAGATCACTCAACAACAGATAATGCTTTTGGTTTTATACCGTCCGCGGGTTTAGCAACACTTGAATGTTCGTTATTTAGTTGTTGATTATCGTCGGTCATTAGTTGGCGTACGTGCAAATAGTTGTAATATAAAGTACCGTTTTTGCTGCGTCGCATTCTCGGGCGTGATAAATCGACAATCGCGTTCTCTCATTCATTCCGTTTTTATATCGGCGTCGGTTAAAAAAAAACGCACCCGTATCGAAGCTCTCGATCAGCCGACAAAGAACGTAACGACAATCCGGCGATAACGCCGCCCGATACCGTATTTTTAATACACCTTTCAAATTGCCGCGCGGATGTAATTTTATAAACGCAGCAATAAAGATTTCCGACATTATCTGTTCCCATACGTGCCCGTTTGTGCAATGCAAATCCATTTGGGCGCCAAAACCGCAGAACGACGCCGTACGGATGCGACGAGACGATGCGGCTCGAAATTGGGCGATGTATTTGTTGTTAGGCGCCAGTCCTTTATTTATATAACAATAATGGAAGTTGGAAAAAAGGGCAAATCCACCTTCCCGTTGTTTTAACCGCGGTGACTAATGAAGGCAAACGAGAGGAAAACAGATCTCGTTAACCGTTGGTCCTAGGGGACCGCCATTGGTACAGAACGAATAGAGATCGAAAAAAAAAATTTTTGTCTGTCTGTTCTTCGTTCTTCGGATTAAGGTAGGGGGTTGAAATTTGGCTCCTTTTTTATCATCCACAATTCGCACAATACACTTAAAAATGGCCGCGATCAGAACTTGGCGCCCATCTTTTTTTTTTCGATTTTCGACTGTTTTTTTTTTTTTTTTTTCAAAAACCAAAAAGTGACTATTTCTCGCAAATCGTTCGATCGAAAAAATTCTTGAACGAAAAGACGCAAAATATTGATCCCCATATACTTATTCTTGACAATTTTTTAAAAATATACAGGGTGTGCCGGTATTACCAAATATTTGAAAATTGAGTTACCTTTAAAAGGACAATTGACTGTAAGCTAAATACTGGTACTCAGTCGGCGCTTTCTTCTACATGACAGTTTAGACAGTAGAGATAGCTAAAACTCCTGTATTTAAAGTGAAAATTGAAAATTGCAGCAAGTGCTAGGAATTTGCAGCTATGACTCCACCCCCACATGCAAGTTATAAAAGCTAGGTGCAATCGGCATCGCCAAATATTTTTCGATTATGTACAGGATTTGTCAATTGTGGACAAAAATCTAAAAGTCCATGAAAATTGTTTTTTTCTAGAAAAAAATATTAACCGTAAATCAAAATTCGTAAAAAATATTATTAATAGGTTCAAACAGTGTCATAGGACACATCAAGAGCTAAAATTTTCGTATTTACTGTTTTCGTCTATCGCATACGCTGGTCGAGATATTTGAAAAAAAATATATGAAAATCACTATTCCTCGGACTGAGTCTAGACGCGATGACGTCATTTACTATTACCACGTACTGGGTGGTTTCAGAAAACAAATATTTTATTCAAACCCACTGACGCTATTGGAAAAAATCATATACCAGGAAACGTAGAAGATCCAGGGCTATAACTTCTATTTCGAACATTGTTTGAATTGTATACAAGGTATGTTATTTATGGGCAAAAAAATCTAAAACATCCTAAAAATTTCCTTTTTTGCGTGTAAATTATTGGGGATAAATAAAAAACTGCTAAAGATGCGATAATTTGATTTGAACAGTATCAAAAACTGGCGCGCGAAATATGGGAGAAAATATTACCAGTACAAATTTACATATTCACCAATGCCTTCCGTAACTTTGAAGTTCGATGAGATTGTGAAAGACACTTTATACAGGGTGCATAGACAATTACACGATAGAAAAACAACGCGTCCCTCTAGGACAAAATACCTCAAGCTGCTTCTTTTTTAAATAAAAATCAGGTTTTGAAAGCAATCTTGATCTCCCCGGGGGTCCTAAGTAGTCCTGGTAGCTGGGGGTGTTGACCTGGCGCACCATGTCACTCGACTAGGTGACGACTGATTATATTGTGTCAGTTGTCGTCAGATTCTTGCCACAGGTGATTGCCTCCACGTCCACTTCATTGAGTGTGATTATGCAACTCGGGCTGTAGTTTTCAGGATATCCAACCTCGGAGAAAGACAAAACAGCCGCCACTAATACCAGGATGAGGTTTTGGATTGTGCGGGGAGCCTTTGTATTAACAATAAAAAAAAACTATGCACTAATTCTTGCTTACAAATTGCAATCTTAAAAGCTAGCAAGATTTACAGTAATATCCTCGATTTTGAATTTGGCCAAATGCAAAAATTATCAATAGAAAACTGATTTAATTAATTATTATTAAATTAGAGAAAACTATGGTTAACTTAATATTTGAATATGATCAAAGATATCCTAAAGTATTATTATTATTGGAAAAGTTAAGAGGGAAATGTCAAAATTCAAAGGTGAAAAACAATTGGTGCCTTTACAGGGCATTAATTACACTAAGATTACGTGATATCGACAAATAATCCCCGTACTCGCACTGTAAAAAAAAGGACGGGCAGTAAAAATTGATTACGGACTATAATAGACGAAAATAGCTATCGAAAACCGCACCAGAGCAAAGAGATATTTCTGTCCACAAATTAAAAGCAAAAGATACATGCAGGTATTTCAAAAGTGGTCACTTAACAATTAATATCCAATAAAGATAAAAATAACCACTTACCTGCAGGTATCCTCGCTGAAGCCTGACAGAATCGTCAAACTTGTCTGGTTTTCGTTTAACCAAGAGGCTTCACAATATTTCTAGCAATGTGCCCAGAAATTCGCCTCGTGGTAAATCAGAGCAACAATCAGGCTTTTTTTTTGGCTATACGCTAAAATAGGATCGGCAGTATCAGCGTTCGATTATAAATTTTAAAGAAAAATGAAGCGAGAAGATAATACCTTCTTCGAGGAGAGCGGGAAAGGAAAGAGTAGTTTTTATGAAATAAATACTAGTTGTTTTTAATACATTTAATCGTTCGATCTTAACATTACATGTACTGCGAAGAGTTGTGCTGTTACATTTAAAGCTTTTTAATGACAAAAACCTCAAGCCTAACTTTATCCCTTCGTGAGCCTGTAAAAGTAATGTAAAACTAATAGTGTTTATAATATGGCAACACGGGGTTGAGTCGCCGTAAAGGACGCCGGCGGTATGGTTCTGTGCATATGACGCGACACTACGTCGCCAAGATGATAAAACGGTGCCGATGGCACTCGACCATGCTGACCACACGATGCTCGAGCCTGCCATCACCTATGATATACAAACTGGAAATATTAGTTCATGGAAATTGTACACCTATCAATTGTACATGTGCATCAGATATGCTACCCAAACAATATTCAACACCGTTGCCCAAAAGTTTAAAGTCTCTTAAATTTATCACGTAGGTATGTGTACATCCACTACTTAATAATCGAATCAAAATTCGAACCTTTGTGATTTTAATTTGTCACAATTGAATCAGAAATTCGAAACTTAACTTTGTGTACGTCAGATACGTCACAGTTGAATGGAAAATTCAAAACTTTACTTTGCGGACGTCAGATACGTCACAATTGAATCAAAAATTCAAAACTTAACTTTTTGTAAGTCAGATGCGTCACAGTTGAATCGAAAATTCAAAACTTAACCTTGTGGACGTCAGATACGTCACAATTGAATCAGAAATTCAAAACTTAACTTTGTATACGTTAGATATGTAACAATTGAATCAGAAATTCAAAACTTCAGTTTGTGTACGTCAGATACGTCGCAATTAAATCAAAAATTCACAACTTCAATTTGTGTACGTCAGATACGTCAGATTGAATCAGAAATTCAAAAATTAAATTTGTGTACGTCAGGTACGTCAAATCATTAATTCAAAACATAAATTCGTGTACGTCAGATACGTCACACTTGAATTAGAAATTCAAAACTTAACTTTGTAAACGTCACAGTTGAATGGAAAATTCAAAACTTAACTTTATGGACGTCAGATACGATATAGTTGAATCAGAAATTCGAAACTTAACTTTGTATACGTCAGATACGTCGCAATTAAATCAAAAATTTAAATCTTAAATTTGTGTACCCCAGATACGTCACAATTGAATCAGAAATTCAAAACTTAAATTTGTGTACGTCAGATACGTCACAATTGAATCAGAAATTCAAAACTTCAATTTGTGTACGTCAAATACGTCGCAATTGAATCAAAAATTCAAAACTTCAATTTTCGTGTACATCAGATACCTCACAATTGAATTAGAAATTCAAAACTTAAATTTGTGTACGTCAGATACGTCACAATTGAATTAACAATTCAAAACTCAACTTTGTGTACGTCAGACCTCACGGTTGAATCGAAAATTAAAAACTTAACTTTGTGGACATCAGATACGTCACAATTGAATCAGAAATTCAAAACTTAAATTTGTGTATGTCAGATAAGTCACAATTGAACCAGAAATTCAAAACCTAAATTTGTGTATGTCAGATACGTAACAATTGAATCATAAATTCAAAACTTAAGTTTGTCTAAATCAGATACGTCACAAATGAATCAGAAATTCAAAACGGATTTTGAATATCGATAAACCGAAAATTTTTATAGTTGACTAACCGTGTGGCGAAATTTATTGCGTTACACTGTTGGCAGCTTTCTGAAATAAGGCGTTTTTGTTTCAGCTGAGAGTGTACAAAAGCCTGTTAAATCACGATTGCTCGAAACACATTCGGCTGTTCGTCTGCTCGGTATTCGTGCCGTTGTGTTCCGAGCACGTACCAGGTCCGATCCCGGCATGCAAGGGCTTGTGCGAAAAGGTGAAGGGTGATTGTTCGGGCCCGTTGGAAGCCATGGGACACGCGTGGCCGCCGGAACTAAATTGTTCGGGGTAAGTTGCGCTGTAAATAGATACGCCACTCGCGGTAAACAAACAAAGCGATAGGCGGTATCAATCGCTTTGCATCGGACAGACATAATTAGTCAATTAGAATTGTTTGCTTTCCTTTACATGCACTTCCCTTATCTCTCGAAACGATTTTAAGCTTCTTTTGAGATTTCTTATCTGCGACCGTTTAAACCGCATCCGCGGGTTTCTTTTTTCGTAGCTATAATGTAATCTAGTCTTCAACTGTCCTTGGTCAGGTTCCCGGAGCCTCCCGAAATGTGCATGCAACAACCGACGGAAGAGGTGCAAGTGCCACGATATTTCAACCACGACGATAACGCTTTCAGCGCAAACTATCCACCGAATAGACGACCCAGCGGCGCCGAATGTGCGCCGATTTTTGCCGCGAAACACGGTCAAATGCATCCCGACGAAGTTTCTAAATTTGAGGTTAGTTTTATCTACGATCCATGACGTATGTTGTGGTTTTACTTTATCCCTTATTTGAAGTGTGCGCACTTGATGCGAAATAACGTTTTCCCTGGTTCACCGATAAAGTTCGTTGTCAGTGGTAATATGATAAGTTTCGAAAGTAGTAAAAATTGACAAATAGGAAATTTTGAAATAGTTTTGAAATACAACCGTAACAAATGATTTTATTTTATTGTAATGGAACTCTCACTTTTTAAATATTATTCTACTATTTTCTTACTTGTTTATTCTAACTAACATCTAATGCATGGACAATATCTAAGTTCTTCATATCAAAGAACTCGTTTTTATGGTCGTTACGTATTCGAATCAGTGATCAATTTTTGTAACGCAATCTTTTATAATTTTTCGAAAATGCAAAATATTTATGTAGGTAGGGGATAATATCGGCATAATGCTGCTGTGAGAGTCCTAAAACCAGCTTTTTAAAATCCTGATGTGTGGGATATAATTCAGGAATATCTTAGGTCCCTAACATTCACTACGAATATACTTCATGTTTCGAGTCGTTTTGAAAAGGTTTTCCTATTTCGACATTTTGACAGTCATATATATATGGCACGCATAATCCCGTGTTGCGCCCTTATCTTTTTTTAAAAAATAATCGCAAAAATAATGGCAATTTTTTCGTTTGTCAGTGGTTGCGAATTAACATTCCAGCCAAAAATTTCTGCTGATTTTCGAAACAATAATATTTTCAAAGTCACTATCACTAAATTTGTTTTAGTTTTCCCTGTTAACAATTTCCAGCAGAGTAAAATAAAAAGTACAAACAATATTTAGTTTGAGGTTGTCTTCTTTCCTTTGCTTTGGTTCGACCATAAAATTAGCATGAATAAATTTTAGATGCGATTTCGATACGATATCATTTTTTCCGAATCGAATTTGGATTGAAATAGAAAGAAATTGGGTTTTCAAGGTCACATGTGTTTGTGTGTGTCACAAAGTTTCACAAGCCTCATTGGGGGTTGATCATAAAAAATATCGCGCAAAATGTTTCTTATAAGGTGGTGATTCACGCTCCTATGCATTATCAAACTTTATCAAACACATTTTTTTTTTAAATAATTAAAGAAACCCAGAATATAATTAACGTTTTAACGTAACGTCAACAGAAAAGAACCTGTAAAAACTTATTCCATTCCTTTTATCAACACCAAAACGTTAATATTCTATGGCGTATTACTTGTTTCAGATTTGGGTGGCGGTTTGGTCCACAATTTGCCTTATATTCACCGTGTTTGCCTTAATCACATTTATAATACAACCGAAGCGGTTCCGGTGGCCTGCCAGGCCCATATTGTACCTCACCTCGTGCGGTTTCATCACTTGTACCATTTATTTGATCCGTTGGATCGAAGGGCCATATACATACAACGGTAAGTTAACGAACGTTATATTTAGACGCGTTAACGACGAAATTCCCGTTGCAGGTACCGCCGCCATCGAAAAACCGTCCGAGAGTCCCTCATGCGTGGTGATAGCGCTAATATTGCTCTTCTGCGATATCGCTTACGCCCTCTGGTGGACGGTGTTTTGTTTCGTGTGGTTCCTCAGCGCGATGAAGGAGTGGTCCACGGAAGCGATAGAGAAAATATCCACCAGGCTCCACGCGGTCGTCTGGATGATCTCCTCGATCCCCATGTTTTACGTCCTGATGTCGAACAACATCGGCAACAGCATGTCCGGTTTCTGCGAGGTGAAAACCAAAACGCTGATATTCTTTCAGTTGTTTTTCATGGTGCTCAGTTCGGTTCTGGCAGTGCTCACGTCTTTCGCGTTGAAAAACGTCCGCAGGACCTTGATATCGGCGGGCCGGTCGCCGCTGAAGCTAGAAAGACTGTTTTATCGTTTACTCGCGATCAGTTTGGGAATAAGCGTTCCTTATTTCGTGTATTTGTGGTGTCAGTTTTATCATACGTTCGCGTGGGGCGGGTCCTACGATAGTTTTACGATAGCCGTCGTGCAGTTGGTGTCGCGGAAAATCAGTATTTTGTTCGCCACGCTGTGGGTGTACAGCCCCAAGACTTTCCACGCGTGGAGAAATTTCGTTTGTTTCTGCGAGCTAACATCCGACGACGCAAAAAATCGAAGATCGAACGATTTGGGTTGCTTGTTTCCGAAATGTTTCGGAAATAGCGGCGACGGCGTCGCCAAAATAAACGGCACCGCGCTCATCAATAACAGCAAAAACGCGGTGTTGATTGAAAAGAAGACTATTTTTGATATATTTTTCGCCAGTACCTCTGGTAACGCGCCGGTTAGCAGGGTATGATTTTTTCCTCTACACCAGTTAAGCATAGGGCACCTTTGCCCTGGTCATTCGTCCCTTGCGATCCTCTTCTGAGGTTCTTTGTAAGCTACTAACGAAACACTTTATACCTTGCAACTATGCACACATTTCGTGGCATTGAAAGACTTCAAAATGCGCAAAAATAAAGTCGAACTGGTTTTCGGAAGCAGGCTACTACACCCGCCATTTACAATGTTTCCCCATCCCCAGCAGGGAGTGAATGTGCCTGCCTAAAGTTAGATTTGTAAACCAAAGTGTAATTCTTTGTGCGTGAATCCCCTATTTAAGATATTTTGTATCTATAACTTAAATGTGATATTAGATGTAACTATTTTTATATATACGACTTTTTCAATTGTTAAATTACCTGTAAAGTACCTAATTTATGCAAGATTATACATGACAAATTATATAAGTATGTAAACGTGAATTGTTTTTTCTTCCGCAGCTTTTGGGTAAGAAGTTAACGAAACTTGTTTCTTTCCAAGCAAGATATCAAAATCACAGAACACAACTAAAAGGATCCCATACGTCGTTCATAAAATTGGTATTGTGCGCATTGGCGTGTTAGATTATAATGTAACAATATTAAGAACCTTAAATTATATTATAAACAGTTCAATTAAAAAAAAAAACCCTATGGGATGTCTTTCAGAATTGTTTGAAAATCTACAAAAGGTAATACTAAGCACAAACATCAAACAAAAATTAAGAACACAATGATGTTTTCGTGGAGAAGAGACTGATATTTTGCATTTATATAATAATATCTGCTAGCGCTACATGTTTTACAAACACATGAAATGGATCAGAACGCCAAATATCCAAAAAACCCTTTCACTTTCAAAAAGTCGCTTTGCCCGCAAAAAAAATAGCAAAAGCAGATGTAATTCAAATTGTACCCGAAATGGAGATTGGACTGAATTAGATTTACTTCTAATGACAATAGGTCACTCGGCCAGCTTAGGACAAGTGTAACATAATACAAAAATCCTGAAGAATGCCTCCCTAAAAGAAGGGTCTGGACCAATCCATCATCCTCTTGGTTGATTAAGATATACAAAAACGGAAACAACTTCTAAATAATTTGTCATAAAATGACGACCGATTCTTCAAACGGCTCCCGCAATTATCTTATTATCAATTATCCGATCCCATCCGGCCTGGTTACCAGCGTGAATATACGACATCCGGAAACCGCGTTAACAGACACATCATGGAATAGCACATCACAAACCCGTATACATCCGGGTAAGACGAACACTATTTCGCAAATTTATAGGCACTGAGCCTGTATCACTTCAGATAACAAATATACAAAACAAAATATTCTTTAAACAACATTAAAGTCGAAAATGGAGGTTATATTTACATATGCCAAAAAGGTTGTCACATTGAAAAATGACATTTCTTAGCAATTATAATGCTATTATTCTATGGGTAACTTTTAATGTGATTCAGGTGCATCAAGTTAATTTTATAATTTACCTATGCTCTCCATTCTTGTGTATAATGTATCCGTAAAAAAGGCGATATTTGCATTTGCATTACTTCAATATTAACGTCTGGAAAAGGATATTGCTTGTAACAGAGGTATATAATACAGATTGGGTTTTAATTAATTATATTAAACTAAACTAAAACAGTAGACCTTAAAACATTGACTATTTCTTTAAAAAAATAAAAAAATAGTAACACAAAATTATGCTGCAGCCTTGGCAAACCTTTCACTAACATCTTTCCAGTCAACAATATCAAATATGGCATTTACATAGTCTGCCCTAACATTCTTGTATTGAAGGTAATAAGCGTGCTCCCATACATCTATTCCAAAAAGTGGAATTAGCCCTGTCGTGGCTTGCAGTGGATCCTGGTTTCCGCAAGTGGCTATTTTTATCAAACCTGATTGCTTATCATATCCCAACCAACCCCAACCTGAGCCTTGAATAGCAACAGTGGATGCTGACAACTGTTTTTTCATGTTTTCTACACTTCCAAAGGAGTTTTGGAGAGCTTTGCAAAGTTCAGGGCTTGGGTCTGTACTGGAGGGACTCAGATTAAGCCAGAAAATTGAGTGATTCAAATGTCCACCTCCATTGAATTTGATCGCTGGTCCAAGTGATATCTGAGTGCTAAAATAAAACAACGTTTGTAAACATAACTTAGTTTAACTAACTAACTTAACTAACTGGCTTACTTAACGTCTCCATTTTCTACAGCCGCTTTTAATTTGTCTTCGGCAGCGTTTAAGTTGGTTACGTAAGTCTGATGATGTTTGCTATGATGTAAGTTCATGATGTCGCGCGAAATTACGGGCTCCAAAGCCGCATAATCGTATGGAAGATCGGGCAAGCTATGCTTGTTTCTTATATGTCTAAAAGTAAAAAGCCTACCTTTTCTACCATAAACGAAATATGTTGGACAATTTACCTTGCCACGGTTGAAGTCACTCTTTTAACAACAATCATTTTATCAATATCCAAGACCACTTCAATGTTAAAAGACGCTAATAATATACTATTTTAAGATTGAGATTTTCCTTATTAATATCACAAAAAATTAATACATTATGACATCTGACATTTGACACATCGTTTTAACTACAAAAAATGTGTTGAGTTTTTATTTAGTCATATTAGAATAGAAAAAATTTAGTTTAAATTTCGGCGAGTGTAAGATTTATTTTTTAACTTACCCAATAATTCCAGTGGTATAACAACACAAGCAAAAGAAGAAAAAAAATGTTGGACCCTTAATCATTTTTAACATTAGTTAATAGAAGTAAAGAAGAAATAGTGCTGGCAAATTGCCTAGTAAAAGCGCCAAACCTCAAAAAAAGAAGAAGAAATGTCAAATGTCATAAACTTAGTAAACGGGTTGACAATGTTATTTGTATGTTTCAAATTTTGTTTAGTCACGGAATGATTGTAGAATAATCAAGAAAATTCGATATAGTATAAAAGTCATTTTAAATTATTCATCGTGAACAGTGTTTTGTTGAAAGTGGTAACCGGTCAATGTTATATTGCGACGTTAAATCGATACTAATATTTAAAACATGGAGCTCCCCCATCTGGGTAAGCATTGCTCCAAATCTGGTTGCAACAAATTAGATTTTTTACCCATCAAATGCGACGCTTGCGATTATTTATTTTGTGATGAACACTACGTTTATTCTTCACACGACTGCCAAAATTCCTACAAAAAAAACAACCAAGTACCTGTGTGTCCACTGTGTAACATTCCGATCCCCATTCAGAAGGGTCAGCATCCGGACTACGTCGTGGGGGCACATATCGACTCTGATTGTCAGAGCGACCCAGCAAAAAACCATAGAAAAGTGTTCACTAACAAGTGCTCTTATAAAAAGTGCAAAACAAAGGAGGTCATACCTGTTATTTGTAAAGACTGTTCCACAAACTTTTGCTTGAAACACAGACACCCAACAGACCACAATTGCGAGGGAAAAAGCGCCCGAAATAAATGGGTATTTCAGTCTCAAGTGAGTGCATCCCAAAATATACAAGGAAGTCTATCAGAAGATGAGGCATTAGCCAGAGCATTAGCTATGTCAATGCAAGATAACATTTCATTCAGCAAAAAGACGCAAGAGGAGTTGGATTTAGCTTTAGCAAGACAGCTTCAAGCATCTGAGGCTCAGGCAACAACTGCCGCTCGAAGTTCACGTGATAGGTGCAATGTTTCATAATTTTAGTTGCATTTTTGACTCTCCCAGGGGAAAGTATTTATTAATATTTACATTTTACTCTCATTTTACTATAGCTTTAAATTAAACTAAATTGTTAATAAATCAAACTGGTTAACTAGAATTGTGTATTATTTAGAATGCATACAATATTAGGTCAATCAAAGCTGTGGTTGCTTGTTTGAAACTGAAACGGCAGCATTTCCTCCAAAGTAGAAACAAACACCTCTTCACATCCCGGTTTTGTTACATACAAATTCACATTTCCAAACTCGCTCATGAATTGCCTACAAGCACCACAAGGCATGGTGAAATATTTCTCTTGGTAGGCTACTACCACTACTGCTTTGAAGTTTTTTCTACCTTCACTGATTGCCTTGCTGTATGCACACCTTTCAGCACAGATTCCAACTCCAAATGAATTATTTTCGATGTTACATCCAGTATAAATCTTGCCATCAGCACATAACACGGCAGCGCCTACTTTAAACCCACTGTAGGGACTATAAGCATGTTCTCTTGCTTCCACGGCTTCTCTAACAATGTTTTGTATGTTGTCATCTGGAATTTGAATCTTTCAGCTGCCATTGTTTTACGTGAGTATATACAAATTATGCAATTTGATAACCTTTTCTACTTGCCTAATGTTTTTAACTTATAAATTTTCTTTTTAAACAAATTGTCATTTCTAGCTAACATAATAAATATTATATTTTTTCCGACTGAAAAATACGCTCAATATCTCAATCTTCCATATGTAACTAAACCAAATTAATTTCAAGGATTGCTATTTGTCTCTGCGAAATTGTTGTTACAAAATTATGGATTTGTACTTGAGATAAATACAAAAAAATTCAAATTTATTGATTATTCTTGACATCATGCGCATTCGCCAGAGATCAAAGTCGGTAAAATTATTATGGGTCTGTGGTAAAATTGTCACAAATTTCGGATTCGTATGCCTTTATAAATGTAATTAAATTAAAAACAAACTTCATTGAAAAACAGTTCTACTAAGTTCTAAGGTTATTATTCTAAATGAGAAGCAAATACATTATTAAAATCACGGAGTATTCTTTTTCTATATTCGGTTTTTAATTTCGGCCATTATTTAATTCGTAAGTTAAATGTCATAAACAGCTGATTGACGGACGCATAAAAATTGTCAGTTGTGAAGGTCGTTGATATCGTGAAATGCTGAATTTGATAAAAATGAGAATGATTTCACGCACAATAGGAGTTTAATTCAATACTGGAACGCATTTCATGCAATATTGATTTCCGGTCGGACCTTGATATATGTGTTTAGCTCGAAAAATGGTAAACCTGTTTAAAATGAAATCCTTATTTTTCATTTATTTTCTACTTTGCTGTTTTACACACGGAAAATCGTACCGTACGTCCATCAAGACTGAGTGCCCCCGATTATTCGAGCACACTTTTAAAGGTTATGTGCCCAAAGGTAATACGAGTGCGGGCTACTTCGAAGAAATAAAAGGCGTGACTTCTTTGGTACCCTGCGTCTTAAAATGTTGCACAAAAAACGCGTGCAACGTTGCTTTTCTAAGTGATGAGACGTGTTATCATATAATGTGCACCAGTAATGAGTTATGTATTCCAACTAAGAACCTAAACCTTGCAACTGTAGACCACGTACTAATGGTTCTTGTTAAACCAACTGACGACGATACTTGGGAAGATGTTCTTGCTAGAGAAGAGTTCTCAACATCTGAGCTAGATAGGGAAATGTACAACATGCTGAATGATAGGGATCGATTTGAAAATACTTACAAAATGTTAGAAAAAGATTTTCTTAATCAGGATGCAGATGAAGAGTGTCAAGTGGGAGTGGATAACTCATGCCCATTCCCTAATGAGATTTGTGTGGGAAAACGCGAGAGGTCCAGAACTGGTGAGATTACAGAATATGCGATATAATACAATATTAACAAAAAAAGGCAGTTGATTAATTTTTTATATTTAATTTTCAATTTGAGGCTTCTGCGAGTGCAAGCCAGGTTTTGTTCGTGGTGATGAGGGCATCTGTGCCACCATAGAATTGTCAGACGTCAACCTGAATGGCTTGCCGGATATTATAACTGAGAAGATCCTGGATCTTTCAACAAATAAATCCGCTCCAGTAACTCGAAAGCATATAAGCATTGTTGTAGAGTCAAAAACAGTAAGTCATGATTAATTACTGAGTTTATATTTTTCACCAATATCTTCGAACTGCTTATTCTGCTAACCAAACATAAGCAATGGTGTGTCTCTGTCCTTTAAAGCCAGAGCGCTTGCCCCGCCACTCACGTCTACAAATCTTCCAGTGTATTTAAGCATTGTTTGTGCACCATGCGCACCATCTGGAACAAGGTTCCGGTAATCGCTCTGCTCAGTTCAGCTGCAGCTGCTCTTGCATAAGCCTAAGCGCTTCGCACCTAGCCTGTCGCCGCCCTGATGTTGACCGCTGGGCGACGGCAATAGCCGCTGCGTACCTCCAACTGCCACCTCGCCCTCCTTGCCTTTGGAAGTCCCACTGGCGACAGCATCCTGTGTGGCTTGACTTACGTTGAAACGTATGCTAACTGGTCGCCCAGGGTTCCCACTTCCTGATTCCCCTAGAATTTTTTGTTCTTTGGGTTGGTCCATAGGAGCCCACGAGCATATGATATACGGAATTTATTTTTATTTATTTGATTTTGATAATGAAAAATTAAGATGTTTGACTCGATAATATCAAAAGCACATTTTAGGTTAGGTTACCTGAGAATGAAGTTACATTAACAGTAAATACTGTGCCGGCAGAGGATCCAAATGACAAATATCAGTATGAATGGACTTCGTTGTACCAGCCAGAGGCTAGTACTGCTGTAAAACATCAAAATGGGGCTCAGTTGCATTTGGAGAAGTTAATGGAAGGCGTTTATGGGTTTAAGGTAATGAAATACAGAAAGCTTTCTGTTATAGTCCTCCATGTAAGCTGTTACACATAGTAATTTAAATCGAACCCAACGTCAGTGCATCAATATTGTTTTTAAATTTGAAATAAAGGTTAGCGTGTCAACACCATCAGCCTATGGCGAATCTTTTGTTAACGTCACCGTGTTGCCCGAGGCCCGTATAAACAAACCTCCGACGATCGTTATAACTCCCGCAAATCAAACTATTAAACAGCCGAATGCTGCCGCGGTTTTGGACGCATCGTCCTCCACTGATGACGACGGCATCACTTCTTGGCATTGGGAATTGCAACAGGGTCCTTTAGGTGTGCACTGTATAGTCCTTCGTGGTAGATGCCATTACTTGGATTTATGTTTTAAGGTTATGAACCTGAACTGAAAGATAGTCCCACTTTGCAACTAAACGATTTAACCAAGCCTGGTAATTATACTTTTAAACTAACTGTGACAGATACGGACAAGGTTACCAGTAGCGGTACCGCTAATATTACCGTACTCGCTGGTACTGACTATCCCCCCGAAGCTAATGCAGGGGAAGACACTATAATTTATTTACCTCATAACAACATAACCTTAAACGGCAGCATGAGTACAGATGATCACGCTATAGTTACTTGGGAATGGACCAAGTCTGCAGACGACGCGCAAAAAGCTGTGGATATGCAGGATACTCGTACGCCGTTCCTGCATCTGTCCAATCTCCAGGAAGGTAAATCGAGGGATGTTACTTAATCTTAATTTTCCACTGTGTTCTTGTTGTACACAGGGATGTATACGTTTGCACTGAAGGTTACCGATAGTGCCAATCAATCTAGCACAGCTCAAGTACACGTTTACGTTAAACCGCCAACGAACAAACCCCCAATAGCCAACGCGGGCGAGAACATAACCCTTAGGTAAACATCTAATTTGGTTTCGGTAGAGTCCTCGACCTTTGAATGTCAAAACATTTTAGTTTACCTCAAACGTGGGCGGTGCTAAACGCATCGAAAAGCACCGACGACAACCAAATTATGTCATTCAGATGGGAACAAGTGGAAGGTCCTTCGACCGTTACCTTCGTAAGCGGCAATGCGAGCACGACCAACGTGACGGGTCTGACTAAAGGGCTGTACACATTTAAAGTCAGCGTCACCGACGACAACAACAACGTAGCGAGCGACATGGTTCATGTTACCGTCAATCAGAGTATGTATGCTCATCTTTTGCTTTACAATAATTTCTAAAATAATCAAGTAAAATTAATGAGAACGTCATAATAAAATAATAGGAAAATTTAGCAACACACAACTTTTTTTGACAGTAATTTTGACAACTTAACTGGCAAACCACAGATTGTCTATTGGTTATGTTTGTTCAATAGGTAGCACTAGGGAATGACAACTCTTGCACAAGTGCTGTCACTACCACAGCAACATAAACACACAACAATAAACGTCTCATTTATACCTAACCCAACATATACCGTTTTTACGACATAACCGGGTATTTAACTTTGGTAAATTTTTATGAAGGACTAACCGCAGGCCTTGGGTTTCTTTTTGTAACTCTCAATAAATATAAATAATTTCACAATGACGTTCCATAACCGTATTTTGGTACTTCGTGCATACAAATACTGAAAGCTGACAGATTGGTGTGGAGTTTCATCGGTAAGATTCCTCGCTTATTATTAGTCCATGCAGTGAGAAATCCTTCCTTACTTTAAAATATTCATTATAAATACAAATGAACAACAACAATGTTACAATGTTTATATAAAAAAAGTTAGTCTACTTCAAAATAAGCACTATCTTCACTTGGACTCGTCCCCCACATTAATAATTAATTCTGTAATAACGACTTCTGTAAGCATTTTCTTCATCGATGATGTGTTTTACGTTTTTTTTTCAAACTAGAAGCAGATATTTTTTCTACTTCACTTCTAGTTAATTCTATTGCCCGAGAACTAAATTTCGGCGAGGTGTTGTTTCTTCTTAAACTGGGTTTCAGCTGTCCCCATATCAGTTCTATCAGAATCAAATTGCAGTGATATGGTGGAAGAAAAATTCCCGTCTTAAGAACTTCCAATAAGTGCTTATTTGTGTAGGAATTTTCCAAATACGTATCCTTTTTAAGCAAAAAATTTCGAATGACTTGAGAGTGGTAGCTGGCATTGTCCATCACGACGAAACTGTTTGATAGAATACAATAGAATACATCTCAAGTGATTAAAAAAATTGAATAATGTTGGTATTTGGTAACAAATCAATTGTAATAAAATGTATATGGTACCTACTCTCGGTACAGTTCTTGTCGGCTAATATCTTACAAAAGGCGGGTCTTAAACTCATTCCAAAACCATTAAAAATTGTAAAAACGGTATATCGTCCGGAGAACTGTATCTCTTACCCTCAAATCTCAATTATGTCAAAGCCTAGTATTTATTGAGAATTAAACGAATTGCGACTTTTGGATTGATACTTATAGTACACATAAGTGTCCACAAGAAGCAGGTTGCGGTGAGCTTGTTTTTCTTCCATTTAGACAAAAATCAGAAGCCTACAGCGAATGCAGGGCCGGACTTGATACTTGAGTTGCCCGCAAACGCTGTGATAATAAACGGGTCCCAATCGAAAGACGATTGGGCCATAGTGCGATGGAAATGGACGCGCGAGGACAAATCCTTGGCGATCGGGAACGTGGTCGAAGGCACGGACGTGTCGCCCATACTTATCTTAACTGACGTGTCCGTCGGCACTTATGTTTTTAATCTAACCGTTTTCGACGAGCAGGGGCTAAGCGATACCGACACGGTAACGGTGATTGTAAAAAACGATCCCAAGCTGTTCTATTTGGTCGAGATTACCATCAACGTGGACGCGAAGTTCCTGACGGAAGCGCAGTATAACAATTTAAGAGGCAAACTGGCCCTGTTGGTTACTGAGGGCTCCAAATTACAGGTTAGTGGCTCTCGTTGTTTTTGAAAGTCGGGCATTAAATCAAATTTTGTTTGATCTGTATTTGTTCTAATAAAAAAGTTTCAACCAGCTACGATTAATAGAAAAATGGAATTAAATATCAATCAGCTTGTTTCAAACAATCAGTTCGGTTTTACACAAAATAAAAGTACAGCCAATGCAATTGTATTATCTGGAAGGATATATAGCTGTCTGGATAGAGGACGTCCCTGTCCCCTATATCTAGCCAAGGCCTTTGATACAGTAAGTCAGAGGTGATTAATAAACAAATTAGAATCAATTGGTGTCAGGAGCCTTGCGCTAGATCTACTCAAGAGCTACCTCCATAACAGTATTAAGAACATTGTTAGTAGCAAACAAACTGTTAACTGTGGAATACCACAGGGAACCGTCTTGGGTCCCATTTTATTCACTCTACCCAAATGATTTACTTACGGTCAATACTAATGATACAGTCCTAATGATGGAAGCCGACACTTGTAATAATGTTAAATTACAAATTAAGGCAGATCTTTGCGCAATAACCAACTGGTTTGACGAACACTCACCATAAATTGACAAAAAACTGTGTATGTAACCTTTTCTGATAATGCCTTCACATTACCAAGTAACAGTATTGAGGTTTATCTCACACAGAGATCCGACATGGAATATTTATATTCTAGCACTAAAGTTAAAAAAAAACAGATCTCTAGTATATATTTTTAAGCAAACAAGACAAATTCTTCCAATAAAAGAAAATATCTCCTCATACTTTGCGTTGCTCCAGTCACGTTTACTATACGGCATCGGCCGGGGCAGGTGCATCTAAAAATAATCTCAAACCATTAGAGGTTATTCGGAAAAGAGTCCTGAAAGTTCTATTTCAACTTCTTCAACAAGTAACTATGATCGCGCAATGAACATTTCTATATGTTGGAAATAAATTATATAACATAATTCCTGCCCAAATGAAAAATATTATAACATCTGAAGGGGTCGCTTGTAAATTGTCTAATTGTTTAGTGGAAAATTGTCCCATAGTCATTGACTAACTTTAAAGCTATGACTAAAAGCAATTTCAATTAATGCAATTCATTATTTTGGTTCCTCTTCCCTTCTTTTGATTAGTTTATTTTTGTAAGCTAGGATTTTATATTTTATTTTGTCTGGGTTATTTGTAAAATAAATAACACTTAAGGTATTAGAAGAGTTCCGCAACTCAAGCTTAATTAAGTATTATAAATTCTATCGCAAATGTTCTTATGATGTCTTATTTTTTGTTTATCCCAAATTCAAATTTAAATTTAATATGCTATTAAACTAAAGCGTCTTGTACTAAGTAGAATTTAGCGTTATGTTGAGGTAAAAGCTTGTTGCTTATTATTATTATTATTATTATAAACTTAGTTCCAAATGAACACGGAAAAACAATTAATGGGTCAGTAGACGGGTGGTAGATTTGTTTTCAAGTTTAATTGACCTGTTCTTCAAGACTTTTTTCAAATGTTACAACCGTCCCGAAAGTGACAATTTCCCACCTAATAATATTGGGACAAGAAATCGTTAGTTTAAATCACTTTTGAATTGGTTTTCACAGTAACATAATAAATAGACTCTGATATTTTGACATGTTAATTTTAAAGAGAACAATCAGTTTTCTAAAGATGTTTTATGGGCAGGATATAAAGCAATGTAGTACAAGCATTAAATCCTTTATGATTAAGAATTACGCATTAAAACACAACCGGGTGGCGTTGCAGGTTAGAAACGTCAGAGCGGAAGATGGGACCGGGAAAGCCAAGATAACCTTTTACCTGGAATCGTCCGACGGTTTGCCCGTTTCCGCCAACGAAGTTGTCAGACATCTTCGTCAAAAGCTGAAAATCGACGCCAGCCTCTTGGGATTTTCCATAGCCAAACTGCAGACCGCCATCTGTCAAAATAACTGTTCCGGCCACGGCGTCTGCGACGAACTTACAAGGGTCTGCACGTGCGAGGCCTTCTGGATGCATGTAAGCGGAACTTCTGCATATTGTTTTATTGTTAGATGTCCCCGTCGGTGTATTTGAACTACTCTCGGTTCGATTAAACAAATCGCGTTTCAGGATTTGTTTAAAGTGTATCTTGAGACGGGCGACGATTCGGACTGCAGCTGGAGCATATTGTACGTCGTGCTGGGTCTGGTATGTGGCGTCTTGACGTTTTTCGGTTCCATATGGGGCGTGGCCTACCTGTGTTACCGTTGGTGCCGTAGGAGGCACGACACTATCAAACCAACCAATTACAAATTAATCGAAGACACTGATGACCTCCCTCCATGTAAATTTGCCTGTTTACTCAATAGCTTACCGGAAACTCTTTTTTTTTATTTTAGTTTCCTCTAGAAAAAGCAATTTGTCTGATAGCGATACAGATTCGGATGTAGTCTTTGAAACCAGGTCGAAGCAGTCGCGTTTTCCGGAGTCAAGGAATGGCCACAAGGCCGGTCGGAATGGTTTCTCAAAGTTGGGAAGTCGCAGAGTGAAAACGTAAAAACCCTCGCCCCCAAACTAACCACCTAACACACAGACTAAATTGGATGTAGTAAAGTTTGTGCCACCGTTCCAGTGAAAAAACACCTAAATGTGATTGCAACGTTACACGAAATACTATATTTATATTTGTACATATTTTAGATACATAATTAATGTGATCTATGTAATTTGTAGAGGATTTTGTACTGGTCGGCTTCATAGTTGGCCTACCCGTGAGGTTAGGTCCGTCTAGTCAAGGTTATGTTGATCTATTAAAACAGTATTTGAACCGCTTGAGTTGTTTAGTTTTATTCGGTTTGCAAAAGTAAAAATAACTATCTCTTTTTCTTTCTGGTAACATTTGTAGTCAATTTGTATTTTTGGAGCATCGAAAAATGTTCCATTGTGTTCTGTGTTTGCACTATGAATAAATGCAAACATAAATACGTCATTCTTTGCTTATTCATGAATTAAGTCATCTTAACGCAATAGTTGACGTCACAGGTCGCTGTATTTTAACAATAGGAACGGATGTTGTCCATGGGAAAAATAATCATTGTTCTTCGCAACGTCTATGTTTTCGCCTTGCCAGAAAGTATACTCCTCTTTTTCTATGATCTGTATGCTTCTCTAATGCTCGTTGTGTGAGAGAGATAGCGTAATAAAAAAAACAGGAAAATAGAAGGAAGTCGTGAGTCACGCTCATAAATTCCCGGAATTGTTACTTTCCAGAAAGGTTTTGTTGTAATTTCTGAGACATATTCAAAGTTCTCGTTTGTATTGGGTAGGCTCGAAAATTATTATTTTTTATTGCGGTGAATCATCGTCTTCTCTCGGTGTTGGTTTTTACTACAACCTTCTAGTTGCGGAGTAAGTGATGTCATAATTTGTTTCCTATCCTTGGCTTTGTTTTCATTTTGTCCATTCGATTTCAGAGTTTATGGAAGTGTCGGATTCGGTGTATTACTTTCTATTAGTGCTCGTTTTATTGCCAGTGCATCTGTTTTTCAACCTTTGGTCTTGGCTGGGGTTCGAATTGTATAAAAATAACTAAGCATGAGTCAGTTCAACGATAACCCAAAGCTGAATTTGTTGAATATGAAGCACAGTCTGACTCTGGATTTAAACCAAACAAAAAAGAACCCAATTTTTTCGCTGAACGGCGTGGATGTGTTATCCTCGCCTGATCTAGTGAAACTAAAAGTGGATACTCCTGAACTTGAAAACATGATATTAGATAACCCATTGCCAAATACACCAACTCCATCGTTTCCATTTCCAAAAAATGTGACTGCGGAACAGGAACGTTTTGCTGGAGGTTTTGTTGAAGCCTTAAGTAATCTGCACAACAGCAACTCGCAACATGGCTCAGACAGCAACTCCAGTACAATCTACAATGATTCTTTCATACCTCAAATCAAGGAGGAGCCCCAGATTGTGCCCAATATTGGCAATAGCCCTCCAATGTCACCAGTCGATATGGAGTATCAGGAGAGAATGAAGCTTGAGAGGAAGAGACAGAGGAACAGATTGGCCGCATCCAAGTGCCGTTCCAGAAAATTGGAAAGGATTTCCAAGCTTGAAGATAAAGTCAAACAGCTTAAACAGGAGAATGTGGAAATTGGCTCAATGGTGAACCAGCTTAGGGAAACTGTTGGTTTACTGAAGCTTGAAGTCATTGAGCATAACAAAGCTGGCTGTCAGATAGATTTTTATTAATACTTTTTACCAAAAATGAAGTCTAATCATGTATTTTTCCACATTATGTGCTTTGTGGATAGGCTGTACATCGAAAATCAGACAAACAATAATTTTCTATAGTAAGTAAAGCATAAAGTATATATTTTTTATGTGAATGCAAAAGTATTTTTGCTCTTTGGGATATTTGTTTTTCTTGTGGTGCTCCAGATGGAAAAAAATATATTTTTATAATTAGCTTTAATGTTTGTGTTTTCTCTAATGGTTATATATTTTATATGCAATAAATTTAAAGTTACCTTTTTGTCTAATAGTATGCTGTAGTTATTAAAAGGCTTAAAACCTTGGTTCTTCAACTTGAAGTGACATATGTATATTTTTTAATTTAATAAATATATTTAAATAAAAACACAACAATTTCAATAAGTTAATAATCTATTCAACTCCTACAAAGTGCTATATGTCATCTGTCTTCTTCCAAAACTTCATAGAAGAAATTCTTGGAAAAGTCATAACTACCAAAAAATATGTATCCGCCCAAGAATATCCATAGTGTTCTGGGTACAACCCCAGCAAATAACCTAGAAACAATGGTTTATTATAATATAATACAAAATGTTTTGTAACAATGAAATAGGGTCTACTGTCTATTCTCATTTGTGTTATCTCTAAAAACTCACCCCTTAACACCTTCTTTATGGTAAATTTTTAGAAAAGTGCTCCTAAAGGTTAAATTGACATTTTTTAACAATTTTCTATCAGCCAGCATTATTCTAGTCTTGACTACATCCAATGGAGTGGTTACGGCAGCCGAAAATCCGCCTGAAATTTACAATGTCCCTAAATACCATAACTTTAATTTTTAATTTACCGGCAATAGATCCACAAACAGCCACTTCCCAAGACTCCAGTGGAATGTTATTTTTAAATTTTTTCCTGTAAGTTGTCTTTAAGTATTCGAGTATTGGAAATTGTATAACGGAAAATGGCACTTCCCTGATGATGGTTGAACCAAAACCTCTATACAGACCCTTGATTGTAAACTGTTTCAAGAAATAATATTTAAACTATTTGTTCTACTTACTTTACAGATTCCTTCATATTTATAGGCAGACATAGCAATCTTCAAAGCAGAGCTGTTAGAACTATCTGTCTGCCTCCTCTGTTTTACAACCTCCATAGGTACCCTAATCAGGCATGTCATCTACAATAGTTATTTTATTATGGAGAATAATACAAGCTGCAATATCATACCACTTCTGATACAGCAGCCCCAAACATATAAACAAGTGGCATAGAATTTATGGAAACAAAAGACTCAGAATAGTGCTTAATTGACTCATAAGTTACAAAAAAAACGGCAGCTACAACATTAAACATTAAATTCCTTGATAATTTGCTAAAATCTACTAATATCTAAATCTAATGGTTATTACATATTATCTGTTTACCTTGTGGGGCACTTCCAATCGCTTGGGGCCCCACGCCTTTATAGATTCCTCTAAAACCACCGGCCTTTTTAAAACCCTGCTCTGCCTGCAATCTTGTCTTTAGGGTGTCTAGCGGAAAAAGTACCATATCAACAAATAACCCAGCCACGCCTCCACCCTGAAACGGCTTGTTTTCAATAAAACATCCCTTGGCAAGCTTCCATTTACCAAAAACGACGACAGGAACAAGTTCCGTTTGGTAACATCATCTTGTAGTTCCATAACACGACGTAATTTTGATTATCTCGACATGATTTTGAAATTAATTTGACCAGAAAACTCTTTATCGATACATTCAACAAATAACATGCTTTTTATATTAAAAACATATTTTTCAAATGGGGGTTTAGGGTTATATCCATAGATAAACGAAGTACGTTGAAAACAATGTGGTAATTGTTTTCAACGTACCTATGGAAACATAACTTCTTCCATGTTTTGAAGCTAGCTGCTCTGCATCATTCAGTCAACAGCTTGTTTTGTTAGTTTGGTTCTAATGATAGGTCTGTTTTTTTCCACAAAACCGAGTATTAAGTAATTAAGAAGTCATCTACAATAAATTGGTAATAACGGTTGAAAGAAGCGAAAAAAAAAAAATGTTTTTATTTAAACCAAATCATCTTTGCAATTTTGGCAGAATAAAGTAAAAGAAGATGCCTTAATACTTAACCTTTAATTTTGACAGGAAAGAGACGGTATAAGTGGTTTAAAAATGATAACGACGTGATCAATTAAAATATTAAAGCCGAATGGCCAGGAACATACTAAAAAGCAGCGTGCAAAACGCTTCTTTCAGCATCGTCTTCCAAATCTTGTTTCGCTGTATAACTTTTGTTCTCAATGCCTTTATAATTAGAACTGTTGGCCAAGAAGTTCTGGGCATTATGAATGTTAGACTCCTCCTTTTAGAGTCTACGATTTTGTTTTTATCTAAAGAGCCGTTGTTGAAGGCTTGCCTCACCAATACTAAGTCTCATAATTGGGCTCAAGTAATTAATTTGATTTGGTTCTCGTAAGTCTTTCAATTTGGTTTATTATTTTTTCAAGAAATATAATTTTAGGGTTCCAATTTCAGCGCTTTTGGGGATGGTTTTGGTTTATATATGGGTCAATTTGTTGAGTCCAACCGATGATATCTATATGAATCAGTACAAATTAGGATGTTATGCCATAGCTTTGTCATGCATAGTAGAACAGATAACTGAAAGTGCAGTTTTGGTAGCCCAAAGCTTTTGTTTTGTGAAATTAAAGGTAGACTAGAAATAATATGTTGCCTATTTGTTGGCCAAATTTTTCTTTCTCTCATTCCAGATTATTTTTGAAACCACTTATATCATCAGTAGAACAATAATTTTCGTTTATCTGGTGGTGAATTACCCCAACAGTGCTATAAATGCATTTTCCATAGCACAGATTATGTCAGCTGTTATGTTATGTTGTCTTTATTATGGTTTCTTTGCATGGTATATCCCTAGTTTGCTCAAGTTCAAAGAAAAAGGGGATGAAATTGAACGTCATTGGTTGTTCTCCGATATGGATGATTTTCCTTTCAGAAGCATTTTAAACTTTTTCCCTGGGTTCATGTTTAATGAGGTATATAATAGCTTTATATGTTGAAGGAATGGTTTTGTACAATTTTAATTCCATGAGTGAGTTTTAGGATGGAAAAATTGATAAGAATTTGTTAGTGCTGACGGTAAGTTTTGTAAAGCAATCTGTAATAAAACAAATATTGACAGAGGGCGAGAGGTATGTCATGACAATCTCTCCTGTGTTAAGTTTTAGTCAACAATCCATGTATGACATCGTTAATAATTTGGGTAGTTTGGCTGCAAGGTGCGGTACAAACAGCTCCTGTGACAGTCCAATGGCAGTACTGTTTTAGGTTCATATTTAGGCCCATAGAGGAGTCTGCTTATTTTTACTTTACCCAAATGATTCAGAGGGATCAAGCTTTGTCAAAACAGAACCAGGTATACTATTTTCAGGGGCAACCTTGTGTTTTAATATTGCCTTGTGTTTCAGATAAACATTTCAGAGTCTGCTGAAGTTTTGAGGCATCTATGCAAAATAGTGACGAGCATAGGACTTGTTGTTGTCACTTTTGGGCAATCTTACAGTTACACATTATTATATTTGTATGGGGGCCAAAAACTTGTTGAATCAACATTACCCACAATCCTGCTGCAGTGCCACTGCATTGCAATTGTGCTTTTAGCTGTGAATGGTGTTACCGAAGCTTATGCATTTGCTACAATGACTAATAAACAACTAGACAGGTACTCTCCAGCTCAGACGATCTGTATTTGATCACTTATATTTTCTGTCCATTACAGGTATAATTACCTATTGGTTATATTTTCTATTCTGTTTCTGTTAATTTCTTATGTACTTACAAACATTCTTGGGCCCGTTGGATTTATTTTAGCAAATTGCCTCAATATGCTAGCCAGAATTGTACACAGGTGCATTGGATAGAAATTTTATTCATTATATGACTTACTTTGATCTTTTTAGCATATATTTCATTTACAACAGATACAAAGGCTCTAAACACAACCCACTGAAGGGTCTGACTCCAGATGTTAGCTTTGTATTTATACTCATAGGATCAGGGTTTGTTACCAAGTTTTCAGAGGTAAATGCTAGTTCTGCATAGTATATTTTGTAAGAATTAATTTAATTTGTTTATAGAGACATTTGTTGCCAAGCTCTATTGTTTTGCACTTATTTATCGGAGTGATTTTTTTGGCTGCTTCTTTAGCAGTATGGGCCTATAACAACAGAGATATATTGAAAATCGGCTATGATAGATACAAACGTAGGGCTTCTATGAAGACAGATTAAGTCATTGTTACAAGAAATAAAAGTTGTTACCTTAAAAATATTTTTTCTTATATAAATATTTTTAAATTACATGGCTCTCAAACGGACCACCATCTACTTGGGTAAGGCTTTATAAATAGCGCCCGTAACGGCTCCCGTTTTCTGGATCATACACAATTTGGTGTCCCCTTCCAGAGTTATAATGGGCATTTTGTTTTTGGGTTCCAGTTTTGCTGCTTCATTAGCTATTGTTGTAATTACACCTGCTGTTTCGGAAGATACCTTGCTAAACTCTCTAGCTAAAAGAGAATACGTACTTATTTTGATTGACAATAAGGGATTCGATGGCTTGTACCTCCCAAACATAGCCCTTGTTCATCCGAGAAAATACAACCACTTACATCCGGATTGTTCATGCTAAAAACCGAAAGAAATATTACCCGTTCAATAGAAGGCATCGGCTTATTTACATTTCGTCCATAATTCTATCTAAATTTTTCTCCATTTTTCAAGTGAAATTTTGTCTCCTACTTTATTGATCTTGGTTAAGGCCAAAAAAGATGCAATTATTTATATAACAGTGGGCAAACGAGACAAGGACACTCGCCCAAATCCAACCGCAGTATAACTCTTAATAGACAAATAACTATTTAATTATTTAGATTAGTCCAACATCATAGAGGTACTTTATTTGGCATAGAACGTTACAATAAATAAACCTTAACCTAACAGATCTAGAATCGAAATTCGATGATAGCGTTTTTGAAACCAATACAATCTAATTATCAAAACACAACTAGTTAAAGAAATTTCGTCTAAAAATATCACCTATTCGTCGAAAAGAACTAAATTTTAAACATCACAATTCATTCTATGATCTAAATTTCTGCAAGTTGTCTTTTATTCTTATTGTTATCACGATTGAAGGTCAAGCTCGCAGAAATTCGACTCAAACCGCAAGCCGATTAACTAATAATGGTGAAATAGTCTATCTACAAAGTGTAACAACAACAAACCATTTTAAGAGAAAAATGATGCGGATCCGAATGTTACCAAAACGAACCAACGATCAAAAAAGAAGAATACATTGATTGACATTGACGAAAATTTTAAGTAGGCGGCGGCGGCGGCTCCGACTCGGCATCATGTGCGTGTTCCGTATCGTCGTTTCCGTCGCCTTTTTCCAGCCCTTGTGCGATCAGGAAATCGATTATTCTATAATCGCGACCGGTTTCGGTGTTGGCGATCCAGAGGGGTAACCATTTGTTGGCGAGCAACCACTGAACGGACACTTTACTTATTCTCCCTGTGAAAAGGATAGGGAAGGGACTTCCACGTGTCGATTCCGTGTGAGGAAACTGTTACCCGTATGGTCCGAAGTACCATAGAGGCTCTCGATTGTGTAATGGTTGTTATTTATGCTGCCGCAGGACGAAGATAGGTGGCGCTCGATGCGGCCGATGCCGTGACCGATGATATCTATCCGACCGTAGGTATTTCCGATACGTCCGTAGGTGCTGGTGCTGCAGCTCGGCAAATTCGGATCGTAGATGGGTTCCGACACGTCGGGCGGATAACCGCCGTTCGCTTGTCGCAGCACTGGAAACAAAGAATAAACACCGTATGGAAGTGGCAAAGAGTGCCGAATGCCACTGTTTGTAGAATAATAATAATTATAATAATGATATATATTATTATAGAACAGAAATAAACAGGCTGACCAACCGTACAGGATTGGCCTTTACAGGTTTTTCCGACCGAGCCGAGGAATACCTCTCACAATGGAAAACTCCATCTTCTCAAATGTTGGATACATTTAAATGGGTATTACTTCAAACCATACCACATTATTCAAAAATTCAACCCGCAATTTAAACTATTTAATTATAAAATGAAACATTTTTAAATGAAACTATTTGACGAAATATCTTTAATAAAGGAATTTGTAACCAAACCAAACTTTTGGAGTAGCGAAAACAAGTTAACTTCATGTGAGCACTTTGTAATCAGCCATGATTACAAGATGCAACGGAAATTGAAGTTGTTTGAAGTTTTACAAACTGCTTTTAAAAAAATGATGTTGCTCCAAAAGCAATAGGTAGTCAAAATAAGTATTCTTTTAAACAATAAGTGATTTTAAAAAAATCATTAGGCGTTAAAATTTACTTCCTATACATTTTCAATTTCTATAAGATAAACGTTTTGCTATGCACAAAGACAATTAGCTTTTTTATCCAATAAATATAAAATACATGTTTTGATTTTATTCATCTTTCTCGAAGTTGGTCACGTTGAAATAAAATATTCATATAGAGCGGACCCTATAACTAACATAAACTAGGTAATCAAAATAAAACAGTAAAAAAATAAAAAGTTAATTCAAGAATTTTAATATGAAAAAGAAAAGCTAACCACAAAAATTACAGCTTCTCTGCACTTATAATGGATTTTCTTAAGTGAATTAAGAGTAAATTTCTACAAATACTCTTAACAGGGGGTATAGTTAAAGACAGAAAACATAAAAAATATTTATACAGTAGAGTACGTTTAGACCTTTGTTATTAATTACCTATATGCATGTAGGGCATCAGCGTTACTGAAGTAATATGCTAAGAAAATTCAACCCAAAAGATTGGAGTAAGCCACTTGTTGCGCGACCGGGAAAATCAAATGCATCGAAAATGTCGACATTTTGCAGACATTGGAAAACTCAACATTAATTCACGCTGTAGCGTGCCCACAACCTCATCATTGAGCATTGCGGATATTGCTCTTGCCCGGTTCCATAAAATGTAAAAATCGATGAAAAAATTGTGTCGTTTGAGAAAAATTGGTTCCGTACATCTTTTGATTGCATTGTTAGACTCGTAGTGGCTATAGTTTTGTGAATTAGTGCATGTTTTGTGTGGTTGTCTATGGATTTGTATGGTGTATTTCCCAGTTTCCGGATGTTTTATATTCACGCTGGTATCCAGGCCAGACGGGATCGGATATCTCGTATGAGATAATCGCTGGCGCCGTTAGACGAATTGGTCATCATTTCATGACTAATTATTTAGAACAAACCTGGAGGATGATAGAATAGCCCTTTCTTTATGAAGGCATCCTTTAGGAATTTTGAATTATATTTACCAATATTTGAAAGCTGGCCAAATGGCCTGAGTTGCAAGGCCAAATAAACCAATAAATTAAAAAAAAAATTCAATTTGTACTGGAAAGAAATTCGACATTCGCGTAACGCATTCTATCGCCAAAAGAGTGGGAAAACGTCTGGATTTTCACAACAGCCGTCTGCAAGTTTCTACGCGTTTTATTTGATCGTTATCGGGTCACTTACTCTCTTGTTGTCGTCTCACTTCCTCGATCGTTTCGTAAATGTTTTCCGGCAACTCTTGCCGGCTGTTGGCGTCGGGGTCGCAGCAAATCTGCTCGTAAAGGTTCTCCTGGTCCGCGAACGACGTCGACGGCTGGTTAAAGTCGTAGCCGTTCGCGCTTTCCGCGTTGCTGTTCTCGTCGCAGTTCGCGTACCTGTACCAAAAATGTTTACCATTTTTCTTTGTTGTTTATTTATCCTTATGCCATTGTATTACTTTATATAACCTACCATGTTTATTAAAAAAAAATGTCCGACAGATTAATGTCGGACCAACAAAAATTGTAGGTCACAATATAGTGATAACAAACATTAATAAGTAAAATATTCTTTTAAATTATAACACCAGTTTTGTAGGAACAATAATTTTAGGTTGGATTTAAAAATGCTTATATTACTACTCCTTTTTGTGATGGGGAAAGTTTATTGTAGACTCCAACACCGGTGTTTGTACAATATTTTTTAGAAAATTCTAGTCATTTTTTTGTTTATAAAGTAACAGTCTTTGGTACGTGTATTATAGCCGTGAAAATCTTCAAACAAACTTCTAATATGTATATATAGGCTAAGGATAACATTTTAAACTCCCTGAAGAGGGGGCTGCACAAACTATTCGGCGACACAACTCAGAACTTCGTTTTGGGATTTGAAAATAGATATCGCTTGGCTTAAGTTTCCCCAAAATGGAACTCCATAGAGTAATCTGGAATGGATGTATGGATGCATAGTAGAAATTTCCCATGCATTTCCCATACAAAACAGTTTGTAAAATTTAATAAACCCGTTTTAATTTGCGTTAGTCATACAGTACAGGACCTTGTGAAGCAACAATGAAACAAAATTTTGAGAAGGTCTGCATGCGCAAAAGATCCACACCTTCTGTATAAAAATATCATAGCCACCTGCAGCGCATCACCTTTTACCGTAGTCGTAGTATATTACCTTATAGCTATATGGTCATACACCATAATTGTGACAGTAGATTCAACATTTTCTCATCAGACTCAGTCAGTGTTTAGATTTCCTAGGCAAAGTTCGTTTTGAAATCAACAAAACATTTGTTTATAAACAACAAACCAACAGCGCATATAAACAGCAAAAAAAAAAAGTACTGAATATTTAAATAATAATCTATATAATAGATTTTTTTTGGCTCTCGAACCCAGGTAGGAAATATTTTTAAAATTTAAAAACATAAAACAATATGATATAGAACAAATACAAAAAATTCTACGTGAAAAAGGCCAAAAAACAAAGAGCAAAATCGTGTCATCCAATACAAACTTTTTTATCTATTATTCATATTATTTATATAATTTTCGTATTCAGATAGATTATAAAAAAACATTTGTGGTTAGTAAAGAAAAGAATTGTTAGTGGAGCCTTAGATCACAATCAATATAAAACAATTACCTTCAGTGGAAAGTTTAAATAGTCTATATATATATATATATATATATATATATATATATATATATATATATATATATATATATATATATATATATATATATATATATATATATGATGACACTATATTCCGGGATATCATCCGTTCGCTCGTTGAACTCCGACTGGAATCCTGCATCCGACTGGAATCCTGCAAATCTTGCATCCGACTGGAATCCTGCAGACGTTTCGCCAAAATCTCACTTGGCATCTTCAATGCTCGCGCTCCGAAAACACTTCGAACACTCGGAGCGCGAGCATTGAAGATGCCAAGTGAGATTTTGGCGAAACGTCTGCAGGATTCCAGTCGGATGCAAGATTTGCAGGATTCCAGTCGGATGCAGGATTCCAGTCGGAGTTCAACGAGCGAACGGATGATATCCCGGAATACAGTGTCATCACATTTTTCCATCCGTGAATCAATACGTGAGAATATATATATATATATATATATATATATATATATATATATATATATATATATATATATATATATATATATATATATATATATATATTAATTTTTTTTTTCACGTATTGATTCACGGATGGACCAATGTGATGACACTATATTCCGGGATATCATCTGTTCGCTTGTTGAACTCCGACTGGAATCCTGCAGACGTTTCGCCAAAATCTCACTTGGCATCTTCAATGCTCCCGCTCCGAGTGTTCGAAGTGTTTTCGGAGCGCGAGCATTGAAGATGCCAAGTGAGATTTTGGCGAAACGTCTGCAGGATTCCAGTCGGAGTTCAACAAGCGAACGGATGATATCCCGGAATATAGTGTCATCATTATATATATATATATATATATATATATATATATATATATATATATATATATATATATATATATATATATATATATATATATATATATATATATATATATATATATATATATATATATATATATATATATATATATATATATATTTACGTCCCATGTCGATGTTTACTACACTATTTCTGTTGAAGTAACACGGTTTGTTTTGAATGTAGTTTCTGCTGCTTCGTTTTGAGGTCTCTGTTAATTTATTTTGCAGATAGGTGACAAGACTTTCCCAGCATGGAATTAAGTACCTCGTACGGGGTGGAATGAAACTAGTATAAAGTAAAAATCTAGATTTTTAGTTTTTAAACTGTCTGTAGACCGTTTTATTGCACCAATGATAGGAGCATTTTTTTTATGATTTGTAATAACTATTTTTTGAATTTATTTTGCTCTACATCTCTAGTTTGAGCAGGAAGCATATTATGGTATGTTTGCCCAGAATGAAAAGGTGATTTTTTATAGCAATAGTTATTAAATTTTTTTAACTGGAAGTTATTAAGTTATTTTTATTTCTAGTGAAGTGAATAAATTGATAGTTTAAGTAAATAAATACCTGCCACAGTTAAAAATTTTTCAGTTCTAAAAATATCTCTGCAAGACTCCACTGGTGTATGTGGGTGGTGTTTGTAAGGGGAGGAAACGATACTCGCCTGTTTCCCGATATCGAGCCGCTTCCAAAACCAGAGACCCCGACGCCAACAGGATGCGATTTTCAAATGGGCTTGTCGATGATCGCGACGCCCGCGTAGCTTCGTCCGATACCCATGCAACTGGGCAGCATTGTCCACGAGTCGGTCTTAGGGTTGTACACTTCGACTGACGCCAAATTGCTGCACCCGTCATCTCCGCCCACCACGTATAGCAGACCGTTCATGGCGATGACGCCCGCATTCCTTCGACACAGCGCCATGTCGTTTACGGGTGTCCACTGCAAAAACGCGATCAATGGAGAGGGAGTGACCCCCAGATCCCGTCTAAGTTTAATACTTACTTGGTTTTTGATTGGATCGTACGCCTCGACCGATTTCCTTACCAATGGTCCGTCGTGACCGCCCACCGCGTACAAAACCCCATCCAGAACCCCAACGCCTAGCGACATGATAACAAATGATATGTTGTTTAGTACGAGGTCAAACATAGGGGATGATTGTTTGTGTGATTTGAAAAAATAATAGAGAACTAATTTTTTTAGAGAAATAACAATTTTTTTAAAAAAGAGGGAGAAGATGTCTAATCAAAACACAACAATTGTTTTTAACGTCTCTTTAAAGCTTTAATACCTGCGCCGCTCCGCCTGGAGCACATGTCCGGCACGCACCTCCAAGTGTCACTCTCCGGGCAATAACACTCCACAGAACTCAGGCACTGCCTGGAAGCGCCGTCGTACCCGCCGACCTAACAAGACGAATTTATAGATTGCAAACTAACCTAACATCACTTTCTTTACCGCATATAAAAACCCGTTGAGCACTCCCACTCCGACGCTACTTCTCCTGGTCGACATTGACGATATCGAACGCCATTTTTGCATGGTCAAATCGAACACTTCCGCTGTATTGAGGCCCGTCGAGCCGTCGAACCCGCCCACCGCGTATATATTATTATTCAAAACGGATACGCCCAGCGTGGACCTTCGCGCCTCCATGCACTCAGAGCTGGTCCACAGATCGAGGGAGGCATCATAGACGTCCACCGTTTTGACACGGAGCGATCCATTGAAACCTCCGACCTAACCAAAGAAAAAAAACGCCTCTACGCTTTTGCCCCGCCAAATCATGAAGTTCACTTACGGCGTACACTTTGCCCCCTATAACCGCGAGACCGGCTCTGCATCTTCGAGTAGGCATTTCGGCCACTTGGTACCAGCGTTCCTCTTTAAAGTCGTAACACTCGACGCTCCTTATCGCCTTGGGGGCTTGCCCCCCGACCACCAATAATACTTTAGGTAGACCTACGGGTTGTCTGGGCTTTGTTCTAAAAATACGCCCCCTCCCTTTACTTGTCAAGTACCAACAACCCAAGCGGTAGGCGTGATCGCGACAGTGACGTTTTCAAAAAGGCTATTCTATACGTCATGGGAGGGTAATTAAATGTCAAACTCAAACTAATGAATTTCAGATGGTGTGCGTTTGGCATTGTTGCAAAAAACAGCAAAAATGAGAAGAAAATGGTTACAATTTGTTCATAAATATTATGGTTAGTTAGTTTACTCGGGTAATAGTGCGGAACAGCTTGAAGAACTTGTTAATAAAGATTTACAGCAGTATTTTGAGTGGCTGTGCTATAATAGACTTTCCTTAAATGCCCAAAAAACAGTTAATATGATATTTAAACAGAGAGGAAAAGCACCTTGTGGGTGAATATAATACTATAATATAAATACCTAGGGCTAACTATCTCTGAAAATCTAAGTTAGGATAAACATATAGAGAGTGTAATTGACAAAACTGTACCAATGCTATGTGTAATAAAAAGATGTTCACATCAACTCAACCAAAAAACAAGTCTGCTGCTTTATAATACCTTCGTAGAGCCACACCTGAGATACTTGTTAACATGCTGGGGAAACACCAGCATAGCACAGCTAAATAAATTGCAAAGACCACAAAATAAAGCACTTATAGTAATATTCAGAATGAACTTTAATATGACTATTGAAGAATTCTACACAAACCTACCTTATTTAAAAATATCTGAACTTAAGATATTAGAACAAACAAAATTATTATTATTGTTATTAATGATTAAACAAAAATGTGAAACTGACTGGAAACGGACAGTGTTACAGTTACAGCACAAGAAACAATGAAGAAAAGGAACAAGACTCGCCAATATAGCATTCACTTGTTTAATAAAATACCACAAACCCTATTAAAGGGCACTACCAAGAAAATGTGTCATAACCTTAAAGACTTTATAAGAAAAAAATAGTAAAATAATACAAAATTTTTTGTAGAATATTAAATATATATTTTTTGTTACTGTTTATGTAAGTTCGCGGGGCCAGTTTATTGTTAATTGTTTAGAGGTCTGAAATAAATTGTTATTATTATTACTTTAAACTGACATATTACATCACAGAAGAGTTTAAAATTGCACACCTTCAGAGGAACAATGAGTAACGCGAGTTATTTATTAGCATATGGCGGCATCATAGATGTATCTCATATAGCTACTAGAGAGCTAGAGGCTCTGGCTATGTCTTACTTATGAAGTAACTATTACTTAAGAAGTAACTGTAAAACAAAATATTGAAAGCAGAAATACAAGTGGGCGTCCTATATAAAATACCTTTAAATCTTTTAAATTAAATTATATCTAAGGCAACCTTTACCTGTGTATAGGCTCAATCTTTTTCTTACAGTTTTGGGGGCAAACACAACAAGTTTTTTGGTATGTGGGTATTTTGTGTTCAAAAAAACAAAACAAAAATTAAAACAATGGCCCAAATTGCTAGTATTCTGTGATAATAGTTGGACGTTGCTAATAATGTCTGGATTTCAGAAACTGATATTGAGTTTTCATAAAAATACAAATTTTCCAAAAATATTATGATGTCAAAATGAAAACCAACTGTAGGAAAATATCATAGCCACCTGTTAGGGCAGTAGAGCCACTATATTATCTAATAGCTATACCATGTATCCTGTTTGCCTCAGGCGACTGGCGAAATAAAGGTTAACTTTTTGGAAGTTTTTTAGATAAATAATTCTATATTTTATAGTCCTATTAGGAAACCTATAATTTGATTAATAAATATTTTATTTTTCGTACTTTTAAATAATCCACTGCTACCCAAATTTACGGCATGAGGAATACCTAAATCTTACCTGGGGGTGCGAAAGGTGGTTTTGGTGTCTCCTTTGAGTAAATGGAATTTAAGGGCCTCAATATAATAATCCTTACATTGTAGATCTGCTTTGAGCAGGGGCTCTTCCTCTACCCTTTGCACAAGATAGTCCTGAGACATGAGTGGTAATCTGACATGTTCCATAAGAGATGCTAAGTGCCTTTGTCGGGTATCCAAGTCGTGTTGGACCCAGGCAATAACACACTCGAAAACCTATGACAAAAATACATAACGCAATATTCTTGGACATTTGTATACCACCTTTTCTTCCGATGGAACAGTCAGTCGGTCGCTGCTAATCAACTTGGACACTTGTTGATGGGACAAGGTAAGAAATTCCTCACATTCAACCACCTCCCTGTAATAAAGATAAATATAATACAGTTCAACCAAAATTAACCACAACCACTGACGGAAAATTTAGTTCTACATAATTATCTGCATTAGCGAGTAGTTCGAGGCACCCGTGTAAATCGGCAAAAGCCCGAATGCCAAGACAGTTTGAGGGATGCAATTGGGCTTGCAAGAAATCACAGCAGGCATCCCTCACGTCCGTAAGTTGCAGCAGATGGGCCGCCGGTAATAAAATTTGTACATTCTCTTCAGTCACTTGGATCTCGGAGGTATAAGAATACTCAACCAAAAGTTCTAAAGCATAATGATCAACTTCCTGTATGACGATACGATCTTGGCGACTCTCCTCGAAACTTGAGAACATTGCATAAAAATAAGGCGAACATGCAGCTAACACCATCTTATGAGCGGGTATTTCCACTGAATTCGCTATTAGTGTAACATCGCACAGTAATTTTTGCCTAAAATAACAACCTTTAATATGAACAACAAGCAATTAATTGTTTAACTACTTTCTCATGGCGTTCATCACCTCAAACGCCTTTTGGGTATGTAAGGGGTTCTTATAAGGTCGCCGCTCTCTATAAGAAATCAACTTTTGGCAATTCTGAGGTATGTGCTTCTGGGAACTTTCATCTAACGAATTTTGACTAGCGCATCTCAAAATTAAACAACTGAAACAGAAGATCAAGCGAGTTATAGACGACATTATTGCGATTTAGTTCATTCTATAATTACCTTCCTTGACGCTCCATTGCACCCTCTTGGTTTTCCTGCTCCATATTTATTTTTGAAATTTGCACGCCAATAATGATGCCTTAAACATACCACATCGGAAACAACAGTAGTTTCGTCATTAAACGGTACGGTAATATAGATCGAACGGTAATACTATTCCATTTAACAAAAAAAATAATAAAATTTAAATAAACCTTATTTGTCCTTGAGTTTCGAAGGAAAACAGCTGACAATCTGCGTTTCAAACAAAGACGCATACGCCAAAATCTTCTTAACTAGCGCAAGGCCAGATCCACAATTGTTTATTAACTTTTATTTATATCTAAAATTGGGAAAGAATAAAGATCTATATTGCAAGGAAGACTATTGATGTAACCAATAAAAAAATTGTTTGCGGGGCTTCGTACTCGTATCATTTTTAATGAATTTGGGGTTGAACTGAATGATACGGGTTTAGTTATAGAGAGTAGGACACTAGTTTTAATAAAATGCCACAGCTTAGCAGTAGTTCCTTACTGGAACATCTTCTTATCGGCAGTATATTAGGTTCAGTATTTCTGGTGGTAAATTATTCATTGCATAAAATCGAAGAGGGACACGTGGGTGTGTATTTTAGAGTGAGTTCAATCTGTAAGAAATGATTTAGATTCATAACATCTTGTTTGAAGGGCGGTGCTTTGCTTTCATCAATGAACTATCCCGGATACCACATGATGGTTCCTCTGTTGACTACATTTAAAAGTGTGCAGGTATATAAGTGCAGTATAGTGACAATAGTTTGCCTTTCGCGAAGAAGTCTTCTCAGTATAGTCCTTGTTTTAGGTCACTTTGCAAACTGATGAGGTAACCAATGTGCCATGTGGAACAAGTGGCGGTGTAATGATATATTTTGACAGGATTGAAGTGGTAAATCATTTGAATGTGAATAGCGGTAATATTTTCCTCAGAAGTTGATTCTGGTGGAATAAATTGAGAATTGATTTTCCAGTAATGGATATTGTTAGAAACTACACTGCAGATTATGATAAAACACTTATATTTAATAAAATTCATCACGAACTTAACCAATTTTGCAGCATCCACACACTGCATGAAGTCTACATAGATCTCTTTGATCAAATTGATGAAAATCTTAAACAGGTAAGCCTGCTTTCTTTTTTAAATTAATTTTTGCAGATTATAAATGTTAGGCTTTGCAACGGGATTTACTCGAGATAGCTCCAGGGCTAACAATACAAGCTGTGCGGGTTACTAAACCTAAAATTCCTGAAGTTATTAGGAAGAACTATGAACTCATGGAAGGCGAAAAAACTAAACTACTCATTTCCATTGAACATCAAAAGGTAAGTGATTAGAACAACAGCTCCAGGACATGGTTTAAAAGTTTTAAACAATAAAACCCAATAATAAATCCCATTTTTATTTTAATAACCTAAAAAGATAAACATCTAGTCATAGATAAAAGAGTTTGGAAAGTAATCAGGCATGTTTTCTTCTTTCTGTGTTTAATCGTTAACTTTGCTTTTTATTTTTGATTGTGTTCTTCCTTTAGGTAGTCGAAAAAGATGCCGAAACGGATAGGAAAAGAGCAGTAATCGAAGCCGAAAAGGAAGCCTTAGTAGCGAAAATCCAGTATGATCAGAAAATCATGGAGAAGGAATCTCTGCAGAGGATATCAGAGATCGAAAACGAGATGCATTTGGCCCGACAGAGAGCTCAGACTGATGCAGAGTTTTATAATAGGAAGCAAGAGGCAGAAATCAACAAACTACTATTCACGAAAGAATACATCCAGTTGAAAAAGTACGAGTCATTGTCGAGAAACACCAAGGTTTACTTCGGCACAAGCATCCCGCAGACTTTTCTTGAATTTGGCGAAAAAAGTTTACAAGACAGATAAACGCAATTATTATACGTCACATTTTTAAGAATAAAACACGTTTTTTTAAGCTTACTGGGGATTTTATTTACAGTATTTACATAACACTAAACGAAGGGCAGTGTTCTAAGCGGTCTCGATAAGTACGTCAAAGTTTTCCAATAGGTGATCGTACGACATTTTGGCCGTCTGGCCCAATTGGCCCTCCGGTTGGCTCAGCGGCTCTTTAATCAGAATTTCCACCGCCTTTCCTAGAGTCTCGAGCGATTTCTTTAGTTGTTCCCTAAATTCCTCTTTAGTTATCGCATCGTATTGGTACTGGTGTCTTGCCAGCACCATCATCGGTGCATGCAATTCGTACAGCGTGATTCCTGAACAAAAAAAAAACTTACGTTCGCGATATCAATTCCGGATCGCGTACCTCGAATTCTAGACAGTCCGGGCTCGATGACGTCTAAAACTTCTAATAACTGGACGCACATCTCGAGCTTTCTCTCTAAAACGACGTCCGGTAAATCTTCCAACGTGTAGCCTTCGGCTTTACCGTACAGTTGACTGAGAGCACTCCGCAGCATGGTCAGGTATGCGTTCTTGGGGTGGAGAACGGACTTATACTTCTTGTAGACGTTTTCCCTGCTTTGAATCCCTTCCGCGCCGCACACGTACTCTAGTTGGTCTAGATCGTTCTGGATCGCGGCGAAAACTCGCCTGATGGCGCCACCGTGCGTTTTATAATCACAGTGGGTACATGCCCATTCGCCGACGTCCTCGAGGGGATTGACGGATAGGATGACGCCGTTGTCGCATTTCTGACACTTGAGGCTGCTCATGTGGGTGCCCAGTTCGGTTTTGTCAGAGCACCGCGGGCAGGTGCATTCGAAGAATTTGCTCTCTCGTAGAAATTCCCTGCGGATCAGCGTGGGCCATAGAGAATATGTGTAGCTGCTGAACAGTTCGCCGTCTTTCGGAATGTCTATTGCTGCCCGGACTGTAACGCTGGAAAATGCGGAGCTCTGTTGATGATTGCGTGTGTGGTTGCACCCATAATCAGTCGAGATCGATCAGAGAGTAGTCGATTATTTCTTCACATTTCTTCTGTGACTAGACCCAACTTACCAATTCTCTATCTTTTATTACATTTTACAATCTTTCTAACATCCATGACCATATTGATGTCATAGAATAGATAACGTATAATCTGTGCCTATATGTACCGTAAAACTTTTACAATTATAATACAATAGAATAATGGTGGTCAAAGAATGAAAAGGTAACTTTAAGTTTCAAAAACGCGAAAAAGTGATTAAAGTGTACCGGTAAACTCCTAAAATTTGAAAGCTCTTACCGACAGTCTCCAATTTCTCCGTTGGCCTGACAGTCGACTGCGTGGTGAATGTTCGAAACGCAGTTATGCGACAATATGGCGAGTTTCGGAAAGAGACATCTGATCATATAGCAGCTCGGAGTCCTAGCTTCGAACGCGTTTATTTCTAGTATCCCGCATACCTACGAATGAGAAATATGTGTGGCTAACTGTAACTCAATAATAAAGATGTGTATTTTCGTGTGGAAACTGTGATTCCTTTATAAATAAATAAAGCTAAAGCTAACTTTCACGTTTTTTAAAATTAAAAGTGATATTTTTGTACTTAGATGTACGGAGGGTTATATTTCACTCTATGTCATAGATTTTTTGGATATCCCTGTATATATTCATTTTTATGAAGTTAAGACTATTCTAAATAAACAAAATATGGTGGTGGTGACTCTGCTTGTAGAAATCATTTGAATCGATGACTTTTCCATAATGGCGTACCCAACAAATAAACAAAAAATCTGGTGTAGGAACTTTCCATGAAGACAAGTCAATCATAAAATTTCATTTCGTTCTTCGTATTCTAATAACAGGTATTAAACACTATAGACAGGACTTAACGATAGCAATTTTCGAAATAATTGGCTGCCATCGACAGCTTTAAACGTTGATGTTGCCAAATTAGAAGCGGTTTGCGCGAATAAACCGGTTTGACGTAGAATTAGTACGCAAATCAGCTAAATGGATTAATCGCTTGGATATTGGATACCGGGAACTAAAGTTTTATCCATGGCCTATATAGCAATGTAGATTTTAAGTTTTGTACTAGCATCAGCGTTCAAAAGTTTAAAATTCGCACCTGCCTCTACCCTTTTAGCAGCGTATAAAATCAATTTTACTACGATGCATATAATTTTTATCAAAATCCTAAAATTCAAGCCAATTCACAAGTCTATTGCAAAACTAAATCAGTTCCTTTCTGTTTTGTGTTCTGCTACCAAGCGCTGAAATTTCTGGCGTTTCCTACACTGCATTTGACAGTTACAGCAGCGTCGCTAGGGGCAATTTTAAAAATTTAAAAATTAGTCATAAAATAGTTTTCCAGTGAAACGTGGTGTTTAAAAATTTCTGCCCACAATAAGATTTTTCGCATTGGACCATACCGTGTGTACCAACTCTTCAGGGAACCTGCTCAGCTTGCAAGGACCGCGAAGGTACTCGACGATGTTGTGCTGATTGTACTCCCAAATCGGCTTTGATCTGCGTTTGTCATTGTGAGCCTCCATATTCGCTACCTCTTCGTCCCATCGTTTGGGGTCTCTCTCTTTCGCTAACAGTACCCTATAATTTCAATCGCGCTGTTTTCCTCAACTAGAACGGTCGATCCAGCTCACCTCAGCGGCGTCACGCATTCATATTGTAGACAAAGTTCGGTTGGGTCGGGCACAGGTTGGAATTTTGCCCCGGAGCTTGAAAAGACTTGGCATTCATTGTCCTTGTGGACCTGGAGGGATTCACAATCTGGTCCGCAGACGGGCCACGAGCATTTCGAGCATAAGTAAGAGCATTCCACGGGACTATGACAGCCCAAACACAAGCACGGACTGTCTGGAAACAGCGGCGCGCGTGCGAGGTTAAAAGTATACCATTTATTAAGCATAGTCTCGAATGCACATACAGAGTTTTATCGAAATTTTGACGAATTGAAAAAATATTCGTTATAATGGCGACAGCCTAGTGTTAGTGTCATTTTTGTCTTCCAAATCCACAAGAAAATGATGTTTAATTATTTAAAACTATTTAACAATAATAATAATAATGACTTTCTTTGAATAATATGATATGACAAAGTTATAACAAAGAAATAATTTCATTTACCTGCCTAAGTTTGGCGCAAGTCTATCCATTGGCAAAGGCAAGGCAAAAGATTTTTGAAATTTTTTTTTCGGTTTTCTTTGAATCTAAGTTTGGTGTCTAGGATAAAATAACACAATTTTTAAATTTTGAAATTTAAATTTGAATAAATTTTTAAAATTTAATTTTGAGTTGCCGATCCCAAACACTATAGCACATAAGTTACTTGGATTAAGTTTTAAGTTGTGGTCTTGAAACATCTGATTTAGGGTTTGAAGGTCATCATTAACGTATGCTTCAAATTCTTTATAATTGTCGGGCTGAAGCTACAATAAATTTGTGTATCATCCGCGAAGACTTGAATTTTACAGAATTTTAAAATTAAAAAAAAATAGGAAAAAGTAGTTGGCCTAAAATTGATCCCTTTGGGACACCGGATAGAATTTCTACCATTTCCCAATATTTTTTGATTTGAAAGAATTGATTGAAATCTAAAAGTTAAGTATGATTTGAGAAGATTAGAAGATTCTACATTGAAACAGTAGTATTGTACTTTAGTCACAAACAGCCCGCGACTAATTTTATCGAATGCCTTCGAAATGTCTGAAAACACTAAAACTGAACTCATTTTTTTATCCCAAGCTTGAAGAAGGTCCAAACCTTTTACGACAATCACACTGAGTTATGGGAATGACATTATTTTCTGTACAAAAATCGTAGTTGTTCACAATTTTTTCGAATATCTTCGTCAAAACAGGGAGAATACGAATGTCATTATAAATTAAGGGATTTGATGTTTTAGGTAGCGGTTTACTAACAAAAATTTTCCATTGGACTGGAAAATACCTTGTTTCAATGCACCAATTTATAATGTGCGTAATGTATTTATCAATAAAACGGTACAGTATTTCACCATACATGGGTATATTTCATCGACTCCGATGGCATTCGTTTTAATATTATTAAGAATTTTAAACGAGAAATTTAAATTGTTTTTATGCAAATTGTTATTATAAAAGTTTATTTTTGCTGGGCAGTTTGAATTATTTTGTAGGTATGTAGACAAAAGTTACTAATTTCGTTAGATTCTGATAAATGTAGAATCACGTAATTTTTTTGTGCCGCATATATTGAAACTTTTCAGAGCTGACCAAGTTTTTTTCGAATTGTTTTTAAAGGAGTCAAGATATCGATTCTTTTCTTTTCTTATTGATGCTAACGTAATATTTCTTAGATGTTTATAGCGTATCCAGTTTAGATTTTTTAAATTTTCCAATTCCCCACTTTGTTTAATAAATAATTGAATGTTTTTTTGTCAGCCAAGAAACTTTTGGATTAGTTATTAAGGCTTCTTTAATTGGCGCATGCCGATCAAACAAAAATAAAATTAGTTTATTTAGTATGATAATTTTACTATCAATGTTATTTCCATACAATATGTCGTCCTAAGGTAAAGAGCTGATATCAATTATAATAATCGGTTGTGAGTTCGGAAAATACTTACCAGATTTCGGGCCGTAAGCGAAAGGAATTTCTGAAAAAATAACGTCGCCTGCTTTGAGCGCCTGACTCGCCACGGCATACCTACCGACGGTTTCGTTTGTTTTTATTTGAAACAAGTCCTACGAATTACTGGAATCAAGTCAACGGCACCGATAATTCAAAACCTTACGTTTTGGCTCATTTTTCCTTATCGCAACAGTCGCTGTCGATTAATAATAAACTATCAGGCTCCTGGCGGACCCGAACTGAATCTACTAGAACGTTCGGGCTCGAGTGACAATCGCGTACACATTAAAAACGCGTTTAAATTTAGAACCGAATGGAAATAGCCGAAAATAAAAGCGGCAAGACGATTTCGGGGCATATAAATAAAATAAGGCCCCGGTTGCATCCACAAACAACTATCGAGACGTATCCAACAATAAAAGAAAAACTTGATAAAAAGGAAATTTATTGGCAACAGGTTTCTTAATACTATTGTCGAGCTAAATCGAATAAAGAATTATCTTCTACCCGCATAGTGGTGGCCCACATGATGTCTCACTCCCCACTTGAAATTCGCGTGCTTATCGGTCTTGACGAAAGTGTGCACGGGCCCGGTCACCCCGTGGTGATGGTCCCTCTTGTCTCTTGCTTCGCTCGCAGCTTCCAGTTGGTCTGCAAAGCGTGATGTTGAGGAAAATATACAAATATTATAAAACCGCACTAGTCGATTATACGCTGTTATAGAAACTGAGAAGGAACATGAACGTCACAGGACAGGGCAGTGCAATTCATTCTAAAAGTGATTGTGAACGACCACAATTTGACCTACATAGTGTTGCGTTGGGGTGCGATGTCAATAACCTAACACTTAATGTTGAGGTGGCTTTTACTTGATGAAAATCAATTTATCAAAATAAATAAGAACCAAAAGTTCAGATTTTTTCACGAAATTATATATTTTTACATGACAATTGTTTCGACAACCTCGTGTCTTTATCAATTGATACGTATTCAACCACACAGCGAATTTTAACAAAGACCTTCATCTACACCCACATAAAGTCTAACTAACTCAGGAGTTGAAACCTCGAGATCATCAACAGCGCCGCGTGAGAGAACAAGGGGTTCATTTTTCAACGAAAATCATCTTTAGCGATGAGGCACATTTTCACGTTGGTGGCTTTGTAAACAAATACAATACTCGTGTTTGGGGATTAGAGAGATTGTTCAAAAAACAATGCTTCCTCAAAAAGTGACTGTTTTGTGCGGAGAAATAATTGGCCCTTTTTTTTCGAGGATAATGCGGAGAACGCTGTTGCGGTTAATGGTGTTCGCTATGGATCTGGATAAATGGGAGCAGTTGGAAGGTACGGACATTGAAGAATTGTGGTTTCAACAGGATGGAGCCACTTGTCACACATCCAGGGAAACGATGCAATTGCTGCGGGACAAGTTTCCTGGTCGGATTATCTCACGTAACCAATTGGCCGCCGCGATCATGTGATCTTACACCCCGAGATTTTTTTTTAGGGGTATTTAAAAAGCAGAGTGTATGGAAATAAACCAAACACTACTCCAGAGCTGAAACAGGAGATTAGACGCGAAATAACCGGCATAGAACCTAAATAGTGTCAAAAAGTGATAGGAAATTTGTCGCGGGGATCATTTGAATGACATCATCTTTCATACCTAATTGTAATACACTAATCTAAAATGGCAAATAAAAATGTTTGTATATTTTTATATTCTTCCGAGTTTTTTTTTTATTTTAAGGTGGAAACCCTTATTGAATCACCTTTTAGAACTTACGTAGTCTCATTGGAGAGAGCACACATGCGTTTTTTACATCATATAATCATGTTTATTGACCTGATTTGCTATTAAGTTTAATGCACCTGCAAGAAACATTAGAAAGAGACAGCTTTTTAGTATTCATTACCATCGTTTAAATTATAGGTATTTTTGTCCCCTGTATTTGTAGAAAGGGTAACCTTGTCAAAGTTCAAAAATCAAATTAAAAAAAAGTTGATGCGATACCCGTTGTGCCTTAATTTCGCTTGGGCTGAAATTATTTAAATATTTTTTTTTTTCAAAGAAACTTCCACGGGCTACTGTAATACTATTTACAAATGCTCTGGTTTCCTCCTGTGTCGGTTTAGAAGATTTGTAATATTTTTATTTATTGTAATATTTATTTATTACTATTTTTAAAATTATTATACGAGGTGTCCCGTAACTCATCCGCCATCATGTGGAACTATCAAAATACGAAGATACTATTTAAAAAACTTCTGGATTTTTCCTGCATCGGTTGTTATTGCAAAAGTTTCGCCTATCATCATCCTGTTGGCTTCTTCAGAGCTTAGCTGGAAGTGGCTTGTATTGTACCTGCCAATATATTGTTTGAGGGGAGTGGGGGCGGAGCTAAATGAAATAAATATTGTCTCGGATGACTGATTCCCATATTGGTGACAGGTGGTAGAAGAATTGATTACATTCAAGAATTTCCGCATTAAAAATATTAAGCGTTCCATCACATAATGCACTTCACCGCAACCTTCCGAAAGCAATCCCGCACTTGCCACTATTCAAAACATCACTGACCACATATCAAAAGTTTTTAAGAAATGTAACGTCAAAACCAGATTTACTGCTTGTCCAAAGTTCTCTCAACATCTTTGATCCGTCAAAGACAAAATTCCTTGAGATGGCAGGAGTTTACAGCATTCCATGCATATACGGCAATGAATATATTGGAGAGATCGGACGAAGAATATCAATTAGGCTCAAAGAACATGAAACAGCCTTAAGACATAAACAACAAACAATCACGAAACCGGACATAAAATTTTATTCGATAAAATTAATCAAAGTAATCAATTCGTGTATCAACAAAAAGTCCGAGACTCTATAGAAATCTATAAGCAACCCAAAACTCTTAACCGCGACTCAGCTCTTTACCTGTCACCAATATGGGAATCGGTCATCCGAGACGATGTTTATGCCCCTCATTTAACTCCGCCCCCTTCAAGCAATACTCGACAGGTACAGAGTAAAATGCAAGCCAGCTGAAGAAGCCAATAGGATGATTGGCGAAACTTTAACAAGTTCAACTCAACAACAACCAACGCAGGAGAAATAGAAGTTTTGTAAACAGTATTACAGTAGATTATTATTATTATTACGAAGATCTCGGTCGTTAAAAAGATACAGGGTGTTGAAAGTCAAACTTAATTTTCGAAAGGTTTTAATAATGTTAAAACGGACATCATTGACAAAAGAGGTGAGGAGACGCTATAATAGAATACAGTTAGATACGTTTTTTCTTGCTTGCTTACTTTTTACTTAGTGGCTTGACTTTCTGCCAACTTAAATCAAAATAGTTCAAACTCACTCTACAGCATGTGTTGTAATAGTTTTTATTATTTCCAACACACTAAATTAAACTCTTTGCGATATTTTGCAAGTGTAATAGCTGATACAGAAAAACAGCAATGCGAGAAGAAGACATGGAAAGCAACGTTGAACTCAGCGTGAAAATGACTAATCGAAATGCTTTATACTTAATAACGATACTATCGTAGCAACGAAGTGACCAAACTAAAATAATACGCGATGGCGGACGTAGCCATTTTGGAACACAAAGGCACTAATATATTTCTTTACCTTCTTGGTATCCCATCGGCTGAGCCTTTCCGGCGCAAATGACGGCGACCAGTAAGCATAAGACGATTTGACACTGAAACGAGATACAAGACATGTCAAGGAAATACAGCGCACATAACAAAAAAAAAACATTATTTTAAATGTACCAAAATCGCACATTATTCACACAGACAGAAGTATTTTGTTGTTATACTGAAATTTTGTTCAGTTTCAACATAAAAATGTCTCCAGAAAATTATTTAATGAATGTAAAATGAGGTATTACAAACAAAAGAGGAACAATCTTTCGAAAAAGATCTATACGGATTTGAAAAAAGATACTAGGCATGCCAACTAACAACTCTCTCATACAACTTTCTAGCATCTTCTTCCATCCATTGCGCAACCACACTTTTTCTTTAACAGTTTTGCGAATATCGCGAAAGTGCAAAGTTTTCGGCGCACGTACCAGCTTGGCAAAGTCCATTTTTCGGAAATTGGTGAGTCTCGCAAATGTATAAGTCTTGGCGTGCGTCTCACCCACAATTAACCGATCGTTTCAGATTAGGTCTATTTTTATACGTGAATCGAGGAGGAACAAAAACGAAAACTTTCGTTCTGTCGGGCTCGTTCAACCGCAGAAAGCGCTTAAATCGCGTTATTAAAAAAGTTTCGGTTTGGCGCGCGAGAGTTTGTATTCCATGGTTTTATGCCGCATTAGTCTGGTCGCTGACGCGAAAACCGATCGTATACGTTGTCCGTAGCGCGTTACGCAAAACTGGAGAAGAATTTCTGACGTTGACCTCTTCGTTGAAGTTCGAAGGGTTGCACCTCGAAATGTGGCACGTTGCCCTAAAGTTGAAATAAATAGGGAACACCGAATCGAATTGTCTTGTCTATAGACGAAATTCTAATCACTGGCCTATTCTCAGACGTTACCTCACTTTTCTTGAAAATATAATGGGTGTCTTTTTTCGATGTATAGATCTTTAAGTTGGCAATACTGTTCAAGATGGCGACCGATTTAACAGCTGTCAAGTGATTTATTCTCAGTTTGGTTTGGCAATTCATCATGAATAGACTCATGCCTGAACAACGCTTGCAAATAGTGCAATTTTATTTCGAAAATAATGGTTCTATGCTGAATGCGTATCGCGCACTACGTCCATTTTATCGTCGACAAAATCGTCCATCAGAGCAGTTAATTCGATAAACCATGGAACGTTTTCGCACCACGTTTACTCTTATCGATAACTCGCATCCCCAGAGACGCCGTACGGTGCGTAAAGAAGAAGCTATTGCTGCTGTAGAGCGTAGCATTGAGGAAGACCCGAATGAGTTCATCCGCCATCGAGCACAGGCATTGGATCCGTGTCCATCCATTTTATGGACGATTTTGGGGAAGGATCTTGGTTTACGTGCTTACAAAAAAAGTAAGGCGTAGATTCGTCGAATGGGCCCAAAACGAGATTGCGGTTGTTCCTGATTTTCATAAGCGAATTTTGTTTAGCGATGAAGCGCACTTCTGGTTTAATGGCTACGTCAACAAACAAAACTGCCGCATTTGGAGCGAAGCTAATCCTCAAGTGTATGTCGAAACACCGTTACATCTAGAAAAACTGACTGTTTGGTGCGCTTTATGGGCTGGTGGAATC